TGAAAGTCACAATGCTGCCCAAGTCGGTAGACGATGCACCAGAACAGAATCACGTGTGAGGGCAGGGCGAACGCTGCTAAGAACACTCCCTTTTCTGCTTGAGCTTGTCAGACTGCAGAGTCCACTCTGCGACGAATGCATCCAAGTGTTTCACTTGCATGCCACCCCAACCCCTAAAAAGCTTTCGGATTACTCCCTTCCTGAGTGATTGCACTTCCCTCGTTGTCAAGTGGTTCTATGCCCTGTGTTTTACGACGTCGTGCGGATCTCATAGCCGGGTCCTCGACTATCTTCCAGTTGTGCTGCATCCTGTAATACAGCTCCAGTTCTCTGTTTGTACCGGCCTTGGTGAGGGCGTTGGCGAGTTGGGCTTCTGAATGCACCCAGCGAATCTCCACCCCTGTGCGGATTTGTGCTTCTTTAAGTCCTAACAACTCAATGTTCGACTTCTTCTCGGCACCACGGATCATCAACACTTCTGTTTGCAGTTTGTCAAACACATTCCTTGAGTCTGTAATAATGCCTCCTCGTACACGTTGCACGGTAGCATCGGGAGCTCGGACATCGACCTCACCATAAAGGATTTCCCCCCACTGATACCTAGCGTAGTACAGTAGGTCCTCCCCGTTGATGGCTGCTTGAACTTCTGCGGCACCGGGACTTCGGCACATGCGATCAATTTTAGTACTGTGCCAACTCACGGGAGTCACAGCTCCCATGTCTCCTCGAAACATGGCTTCAGGCCCTAGGCCCACGAAGATTCCCTGAGTGCTACCTCCATCGGGCCGATTGCCGTCGGAGGCATCAACCCAAGCATATAGGGCTAGGCGCTCCTGAGGAGTGTAGCCGTGGATCTTCATCTTATGTTCCCCTCTGGCCTTCGTGTGGTAGAGGAGAAGGTTGGCGCGCAACAGCGTGTTGACTGTTCCCTTGCTTAGCTCTGAAAGTAACAACCCTACTTCCGCCGAAACGTGAGGAGCCACTTGCTGGGCATGCCAGCTTAGCCCACCTAGGAGTGTCCGGCCTTGGGATTTCTCCCTCTCGGTCAGCTCCGCGGTCTTGTCCTTGCGACGGCTGGAACTTAGGCTGATTTCGTGTAGGCCCTCCAAGTAGTGGGGCTGCGACAACTCAAAACCCTCGGTGACTCTGGTCACCTGCACTCCACATTGTACAAAGGTGTTGTCCTCCCAGTCGCCCCATTTGAAGCGAGTGCGAATGGCCTGCAGAATCTCCTGCCATTCTTTGTCGTCTTCGGCTCCACTGAACAGGAAGTCGTCCACATGGCCAGATATCATCCCTCGCAACTCGCCTTGGGGACGCCACACCCATGCACATGGGTCTGACCACAGTCGCTGAAGGCCTAAGCTTTCTAGAAACTCTGTAACCGTCCTGTACCATTCCAATGGTGCGTCCACTAGTCCGTAGCACGCGCGCCGCAAGCGCGTCACGCTTCCTGCCTCAATGCCCATAGCCTCGCAGATCTCTGGGCAGGGAATGCAATACAGTTTGTCCGGATATTCCCTTCCTTGAAGGAAAGCTCCAGACACATCCCCCTTCTGGATTTTCCAGTGTCTCTGTGCTGTAATCTGTAATTGCATCTGACGCGTCTGACGAGTCATTACGGGAGCTGTAGTTCCTCTAAACTCGTAGTTGGGGTCTTGGAAGCCAAGAAGCACTGCTCTTGCCTTTGCCTTCCGCTCTCCAGTATCTTTCACCTTCCAGGTGAGAATCCACCTCATGCCGATAGCACATTCTCGGGATGGTTTGAGGTGCTCCGGGAGCACCTCAAAGGCTTTGGCTGCTAAAAAGTTGCGGACCTCGATTCCTTTCGCTTCTCTGAACTGCTCTCTCTCGCCTGGCTCCAGTCTTCGTTCACTGATCTCCACTGCACGCCGGCGGATCGCGCCGGCAAAGTAGCCCGTCATGTTGTGCAGCAGCTGCTGTGTTCCTCGCTTGCTGGTGGGCATGTCTAGCTCCACCGCTACTGCTGCGGCTTCGTCTGTCCAGTAAGTTTCTTCCTGCGTCACCCAAGCTGCCTCTGGCACCTTCTCCCACCAAGGGGGAGCTTCTGCAAAGCTCTCGGTTCCCACTGCTGACGGTGGGCTAAGGCGGGGACGACTAGGCGGTCCTTGGGAGCTCGCGGCGGGCTCGTGGTGGCTTTCGTCCATATCCACATCCTCGGTAACCGGGGCTGGTCCCGGTCGCTTCCTAGTGAGCCGCACTCGTCGTGGCTGTAGCTCCTGTTCAGGGTCCTGTGCCCTGTGCCATTCCTCTGCTGGAGGAACCTCATCTGAAATGTCCCTAAACTGATTTCCGCCGATCTCCTCAGCCACCTTAGTGAACGTCCAAGGTGTGACATCCCTCTCCATCAGCGATTCAAGCAGCTCCTCTCGAGGAGAGGCTCGTCTGAGCTGCTCAGGGCAGCACTTCAGCAAACTCCGGCCTCGAACGAGCCACACAGAAGAACCGGGTTTCAAGGTTCCATCGGCTTCCCGGCTTGACTCCACCGCCAGTATCCTGGCGGGTCCTAAGAACCGTCCCTTCTTCGAGCTGGGTGATTTCTTGGACTGTCCTGACTCCTGAGTACGCCAAAAGAAAACCAGTTCCCCTGGCTCGAAATCCAGAATGGGCTTATGCCTGGAGTTAGCAGCTCGATTGAGGCGCTGCTGGGCCTGCCAGCTCGCATGAGCTCGCTCGGCCTCGGCTCGTAGTTGAGCCGAGCGCTCAAACTCGCCTGATACATTCTCAATCAACAGCTCGGGTGGCAGTTCTTGTACAGCGTCGATCACCCTTCCAGATTCATCGGGACTCCGGCCTAGTGCGTGCTGAACTGGACTGAACCCTCTAACCAAATCCCTCTGATTGAAAGTCCTGATGGCCGTTGACAAAGCCTCTTCAAGGCTGATGTCCTGATCAAACTCACATAACTTAGACATCACCTCCTTAATTCCCTTGATAGCACTCTCGCAAGCCCCAATCTTCCAATGAGCCTCCCCTGGCACAATGTCCAAAAAGATCCCATGTTGGTCACAATAGGTTTCGAGCATCTGGCTTCGGAAGGGACCTGCGGGGTCCAGCCGGAGGGTGCGAGGGTGTCCGAAAACCTGGGTCCAACCCTCCTGAAAGTACCTAATGCAGGACATGGCACTGGGAGTTTGTTTCGCTCCATGGGTGAGGATTCGGGCCATCCGGAAACGGGAACCTTCATCTAAGATCAACAAGAACTGCACATGTTCCCTACTGTGAGGATGCTGGAAGTGGCCTACATCAGCTGACACAGTTGCCCATTTGGGTGGGAGCGGTTCCAGCGATGCCATGTGGCGTGATGTCACTTTCTGACGCTCAGCACAGATAGAACACTTGAACTGTTCGGCTTGTCTGAGAACCTCCTCGGGAGCTCCCCGCTTCTTCAAGGCTGCTATCATATGTTTCGTGCTGCAGTGGCCCGTGGCCGCATGCAACAAGTAGAGTTTCTTCTGGATCCTATCCCGGTCTTTGGCAGCCTCCCGTGGTTGTACGCTTGGGGCCTGGTTTGAAACCTCGTTCACAGGATACGCTTGGGGCTGTGGGGAAGACTGCTTCTCCTCAGGCCTCATCTTAGGTAACCGAAAACCCCAGTTTCCTAAGTCTTTCTTCTGCTCATCAGTCAAATGATGCACTCCCCTGCTGGTAAACGCCGTCAGGGTAACCCGATTACCCTTCCACTTCAACGGCCCGTGCCAGGCCTTTCCATGGAAGCGTACTGCTTGATGATGGATGTTGTGCTTTTGTCCTCTGACTCTGCGTCCATCCGGCAGAGTCTGCGTGCATCCCTCAGATTCTGAGATGTCAGGATCCTCAACCCACAACTCGCCTTGTTGATAATCCCCGAAACCAAATATGATACTGGCCTCTTGCGGATGATTATGCACGTCACGATGCAGGGGAAGATACTGATTTCTGTTCACCGTCAGTGTCGACCAACACTCATGTTTCTGGGTTTTGCTACTTATGAAGGCATTGAGATACTTCAGGGTTTCGGGGTAACTTTGGCAAACGACTGTAGTTCCGTACTGCGCGCCGTGGCTGAAAGCTCCAAAGGTCTGATACTCCGTAGCCCGACCCTGAACCATCTCCCTACGACCCTTCATTGCTCGCGCGGGCAATGCCTCGAGGATCTG